ACGCTTAAAGTTTGTTCCTCTGAATCTTTGCTTACCAATGGACTAAATTATTTGAGAGCAGTCGCGATTGACCGTGGATTTTCTCCGGTGATTATTGATAAAGCCGTTCAAAATTTTTCAGATTCTCATCAGAGAAGACATTCCACTGTTAGAAACAATATTAATGACCTTGTCGTGCTTCCATTTTATCCTTCTATTAGCTATAAAATTGCACGGATTCTCCAGAAATTCAATTTTCAAGTCGGTTTCTCCCCTATTAATAAAATTCACCCTTCGATTCTAAAAGATTGCGTTTCTGTCTTGAATTCTTGGGGAATTTATAGTATATCGTGTCAGTGTGGCTTAAGATGTATTGGCCAAACAAAAAGGAGCGTTGAAGTTTCGTATCAAGGAACATGAATCTTATGTCAGAAAAGGCGAAATTAACAAGTCTTCGATAGTGTATCATAGTTGGACATTTAACCATAATTTTGACTTTGGGTCTGCAAAAATTATCCAAAAAGCTTCTTCCATAGGTGAATTGAATTTTCTTGAGGCTTTTCATATTCACAAAGATTTAGCATGTTTAGTTAATGATTTGAAGTCCAATCCAGTCCTTCCGAATGCCTTTAAAATTCTATTATCTTAATTCAGTTATTTTTGCCGATAAATGGCATTACCTCCTCGCGTTTGGTACTACCAGAGGGTATAAAAACCCGTTCAGTGGTTGCTTTCCATTATTCGAAGTTCAGATTTTGAGCGTGAAGGTGCAGTTGCCCCTTGCTCCCTATTTTTAACTTCGCTAATTTTTCTTGTCCTTTGTGTTACTGTTTGATCAGATAGCCTGGCTCAGTAAAAGTAGGCGGGCAGTGTAACTCTGATTAAAAATCCGGTTATAACCACGTGCAGTGCTGATAAGGATCACGTTTTTCTGAGACTCCTTCCCCTTTATTTATTTATTTTTTTTTTCTCTCTAGGTATTTCTTTCTCCTGATGAGGAGGGACCTTTATCTGCCCTCGAAATCGATTGAGTGTTTCAGTATACTTACGCTAAATACAAGGTTGCTTTACGATTTTGAACTTTTAACTGGTTCTAACTGTAACAACATTTGCATGAATCTTGATATAATAACATCTTTACGACCAAACGTCTCTTCGAAACTTTTAATACATATATCATAATTCTCTTCAGATAAAGCATAATCAGGTATACAATTATATGCAGAACCAGGTAATAAACTTTGCAAATATGTAAACTTATCTATTTTGGATAAACTTGGATTAGAATGAATAGCATTATCATACAAATTAAAGAATTCGAGCCATTTACTGGGATCACCAGCAAATTTTTCTATATTTTATTTAGGTAACTTTACTGAAGCACTTCTTGTAACAACATTGTTACCATTCAGAGTACTACTAATATCATTACTAGTTGCAAGTACATTTCTTTCAACAACTTCATTACTGTTAATTTTTTTTTAATTTTACTAACAATCTTAGCTTTAAACGTTATGATTTTTTCATCATACTCTTCACATGCAAGTAGTTCATTATCATATTCTTTTTCATCAATTATTAGAGCATTGATCTTTGAGTCAAGACTTTTAAATTCCTCATGGTATTCAGTTAACAATTAATGTGATGAATTTAAATCTTCTAGATGTTCTTTACTTAATTCTCCTGATAATAGTTTCTCAAGTTTATTTAGAAGTGTAGTAACTTTACAACATACAATAGCACATTTCTTTTTTTCTTTTGCTAAATCATCCATTATGTTTCGTTTTCAAAGATCAATACCAAGAATAAATAATTCAAAGTCTTACTGACCAAATTTAGCTGTCAACTCCTCACTGGTGGCTCCAAGAGATGTAGGTGAGCGATCATGAAAGGCTCCAAGTATCCAGAGGTGTAGTTACAAGATGCTGTTTGTGATTGGTAACTTTTCAAGGATTAATCGAAGTTCACACACAACGTTTATTTTGATGATGAACCACTATATACAATATTATATACATATTTCAGGGTGGGGCTACAGGATTTTATCCCTTTTGACGCTTCAAGATATGCGCCTTTTCATGATGAGTTACAAGATCTAACTAACTCTTCTGGCGCGTCAGTCCCACCTATAGTAATACTTCATAACAAGTAGTGAATGAAAATATAAATCTTAATCACAATTGATCACAGTCATCACAATTGATTTGTCAAATCAATACAAACCATTGTACTCTCACATGGACTAAATGTGAACTATGTCAGGCTTTAGTATCTTGGTTGTCAAAACCATGTTTATATGAATCTTACATGTATTTGTTCTAAAAAATTGATATGATAATGTACTTACATGTTGCTGTCAAAGAAGGGCAAATTCTCCAAATGTGCTGGCAGAGTTGTAGTGAAAAGTGACCGCATTTACTCAAAAATTTTCTGAAAATCATGTCGTGTGTTCAGCGTGCAAGTATGATCTTTCTGTCACTTATGGCAATCATGACAACTACAGGTGGCACATACAACCCAGTAAATATCATGACTGAATAAAACTAAAATCTACCACAAAGGCAGTATCATATTTTTTTTCTTATAAATAGACAACAATTCTGTTATAAAAGCAGAACTTTTATCATTTATGGCAGAACTTCCATTTGTATATGCTGACTATGGGTATTCTATATTTTGATCAGTGTTTCTAATTCTGGTTCAGCTAAAAAAGTAGTGTGGGGTGAAGTAAAGCAAATGCTCGGTTTAAGTGAATGTGATGAATTCTATTGGAAAAGAAAATTGTGCAAGTGTAAAAAAGGAGCTGTTTGTTTTAAGTATTGATATTAGCTCAGATTATAGTATTATTTCTATAAAATTGCACCCTGTTGTTTTTTCATTCTATAATAGTAGTCACAGTGAGATATACCCATCACTATTGTAATTGTTGAAATCCACGGATAATTCAGAACTTTCATTATCAAACTTCTATACTTCTGCAAGAGTGTTCTTTCAGTTTTCTTCATATAGCTGCCAAAATGTCTCAAGTCAGTTCATGGACTTAAATATTAAACAGCTTTTAGTTCAGTTTTATTTTCATCAGAAAAGCTCAGAACATGAAGATTCTCTTAGGTTGTGCTATTAATGCATTTCCTTTTTTTTAGTGAAAATGCTGATTTTTCAATCTTAAAGTTTCTTAAGACGGAAAATCCCATATATAAAATTGTCTGTTCCTCAGTAATACTCTTCCACTTTTTGTTTCCACTAATGCATTTCTTGTACCAGAAAATATCTAAATATAGTTCTTAGAAAAATCTTATTGCTCTTTTAATAGGTTTAATAATAAGATTTTTTAAACCTATATGACCACTCTATGATGCTGCTGATGCATTAGTGTTTAGTATTGACTTTAATAGAAAGAAACACCAGAAAGATGATCCTTGCCTGTTAATTATTGACAAAACTGGAGCTTACTTTTTAGAAAAGAAGCTTACAGCTTCAAAGGTCAGTTTTTTAAATTAAAAAAAAAAATCATTATTGAGTTTTGAAAGATGGAGAAGTAGAGGATCTTTCTCTCAGATAAAAAGCTCCATTTTCTTTTGTTCAGTACATGATTTTATTGTTCAAAAGCCTGTCTGTTGATGTAGACGAGTTGGAAATTGAATTTTCAGCATATAGCTCAGTGATTTTGATGATGAAGTTTTCACTGCTTTTTGAATAGATGTAATGTGAGAAATTTCAAGATTGCAAGATGAAAGTGGTGAATACAAATTTGGAGAGCCTAATAAGGTTGCCTATTTTGTGAGTATCTTACAACACTGCACTGACTGAAAGGAATTTTAGCATTGTGTAAAAGAATCAAATTCAGGTTTGGACCAGTTTTATCCACTGATACATTGAATGCAGTTTTTGTGCAGGATGTGAACGCACAAGTTTACTCACAACACTGTTACTAAGTTTAGCCATGATGAATTGGCCCACCAGCGGCCGAGCGGTAAAGTCGCTGAACACTGGTAGTTCGGTCTGAGGTTCGAATCCCGCGAACGGGCTGGCTGCATGGGCGTTTTCGTGGTTTTCTCCATGTGTAACATGTATACGAGCCAGTTTTCCTTAGAAAGTCCTCCACGAAGGCATCCCTGCCCTTAGGCAGATAGCCCTTGTGTGCTTTGCCAAAATTAAATAAACCAAACCAAACCAACCATAATGAATTGGCTGTAATATAATCAACATTTGATCTTATCAGACCAATTACAGTAACATTCAGAAATATGTCTTAATTTCCCCCCCTCTCTCTCTCTGTCAGATTGTGAGTAATGTGCCTTTTATGCTTTGTAACATACTATTCATACTGCTGAATCTCTTTCCTCAAGTTTGGAGAATATTTAAGTGTCCTGATCATAATTTAATCAAGTGGTTTGATAACCCCTCTTTAAAGATTGATGTCTTAATATGTGAAGCAATCTTTAATGCTAAGTTTGTTCATCTATCATAAAATATTGGGCAATGTCATATGTATGTAAATGTGTGTGTGTGAGAGAGAGAGGCTGTCTTATGTTTGATCTAATGCTGAAATTTATCCAGGTATACAAATAATCCAGGTATAAACATTATATTAGAAAGGAGAACATATATCTCAGCTGCATCTGAAAGGGAGGATGAAATCTAGAAAGAAAAACCTAGGGAGAAAGTATCCATAATTGCCTGCTAGCATTAATATATGAGTCAAAATAGGTGCTGCATTCAAACCCCAAGTGGAACCAAGGTCTTTTTAATTTCAGAACAGTGAGTGATTCAGGCATTTTATTACCACATGGAATAATATGTGTAATAGTGTATTTTAGCTATTGAGTTGTTCTGTATGGTTTATATAGGTGTTTTGGGTGTATTGTGTGAAAGCATTTATTCTATGAATTAGTAACAGAACAAAGCATTTTTCCTTTGGTCAGTTGTAGTACTGAATATGTTTTATGTCCTATTGCTATTCCAAAGCCATGTCATATAAAGCACAGAATTTTTCTTGAATCATCAGTTTTCTTCTTTAGTTGCTGTTATTGAAGGACGAGAAGACAGTCAGGTTGATTCATTGCATGGTGCACATGTTACCGGAGGGCCTGTTGCTTCCATTCCTGCTGCAGCTGTTGTAGTTCTTCCACGAATTGAGGAATCGGGTAATTTTTTATTTTTTATTTTATTAGGTTTTGCAAGTTAGCACAACATTTAAATAGTTCTCTTATCAAATGTCAGTTTGCAGCATTATTTCACTGCTTAACACTTGCTACATGGTATGAATGCATTCTGAAATTATTTTGACTCTAATTGTATTGGGAATTCATCTATATCCTAAGATTTTAACAGACCTTTCTTTTAATTAAATAAATTTATTTAAATATCTTTAATTATACAGGACTTCCAAAATCATTCATTATTTAAAAAAATATTTTTATGTAATAATATATGCAAATAATGTGTGAAATATTTTGTAAAGGCAAAACGTGGTTGCGGATATAGCGAGGAGAAATGTAGTTCAGACATATGTCTTGCATAATATTACTGGTTATTAATAAAAATTATTGTAATTTATTTAGATATGTTACAATATTTTTAATATGCTCCATGTTAAAAAAGTTCTTTGTGATGCAACATTTTCCTTTTCCAAGTGTTTTTCCCTGTTTGTATAATTGAATTTTATATAAATATAGAAACTTCGACTGAACAAGCTCCTGTTGATTCCCCAGCTCCTACAACATCTGTGATTGTATCTCCTCCAGCAACCCAAACCCAGGTTGTTACCCCAACTATTAAAAGACAACGAGAAGAAAGTATCAGGTATAACATTTATGTTTCTTTTTTTATGTATTTGCTGCCACATGTTATTTTATAGAGATTTTAATTTTTGCTCATAATTTTCTTTTTAAAATATAGCCCTAATGAATCTCAAGAAACTAGCCATAAAAGGGTCAGAATGGTTTCTGAAGGAAGCCAAACAAATCAACAGATGCCTATTGCTACAACAGTAGCAACACCAACAAATGTTGCAGTTGTCTCAGCTGCTCAAATCATACCTCGAAATAAAGCACAAAGTTCTCCTATTGCTGAAATTGTACAGCCTACAAGTGCCCAAAATGATACCAAGGAGACCCCATTGCCTGTAATTTCAGCACCTGAAGCACCTATAAGTACTGTAGTAGAAGAAGGTATGTTGCTAAACATATATGTTTTCAAAAAATTTAGGTTATAAAAAACATGCACACAGTTAAATAGATACTCATTGTTCAGTTAAGTCAGCAAAAAAGTAATTTATATTTTTATTTATTTGCATGTAATATTTAATTTTTTGAGAACTGAAATTATAAGTGAATACTTTCGTCAAAGGAAAATAGTTGGAAGAAGGCGAAAATTTGATATATTGAATTTTATCAAAGGAAAAAATCATCTTGAAGTTTGTGACTTATTTTACTGTATTTAGCAGATTAGCTGAGGCATGTAGAATATGAAACGTAACTGTGTTAAATAGCTTTAGCTTTTAGAATGCAGGCTTTCGTCTTATGTTCTATTTTTGTTCCTGCAGTAAAGTGTGAATCTTTAAGTCATTAGGAAGGATAATTTATGCTAGCGGACCACTTTTACCTACCACTCAGCATTGTCCTTTACCATTTCAACATGCCATTTCTGCATATACATAGCATTAACAAATGTGTTTATTACTAAGTTATACCTCAGTTTACATTGCCCCATATTACACCGATTTGCTGTACCTCTGTTTTAAAAAGTAATTTATAAAAATTCAGAATTTCATATTTATTTCAGAGAGCAGTTGTTACTTTTCAATGAAAATAATAATAATAATAATGAAATATCATTATAGACTTGAATTGCATATTATTAGGCTGTAGGTACAGTATGTGCAATAAATGGATGAAAGGCATTGCAAGAGAATGGCAGAACGGTGATCTGTGCTTGCTACGATACATTGTGGCTGCATGGTGATATCCATCAGACAATCTCTTGCTCTCTCTCTGCTCATCGTATTGCGTGTCTTATGTTTTAGCTAACAAATATACTTATTGTGCATAAGAAGCTACTTGGTGAGTTCAGCATTGTTTATTACTTTTTCACTCCTCATAGTTTTAGAAAAAATAAGTATTTTTTTATTCATTTTATTAACTGAAATGGATTCTTCTAATAAGAGAAAAGCTATTTTATTGGGAGTAATGTGCTATTTCAAAGGTGGACAGCAACAAGTTGACATTGTAAGCTCCTTAAAGTTAGCATCTTTAAATTTTTTTTGGGGGTAAAAAAAATTAAATCTTCTCCTACAACATCATCATGTATGCTAGCAAAGAAAGTGATGAAATATAGAAACTCAGTTTTTGAAGAGATGGGAAGATGGCTCAGTTTGATCATGAAACACAACATAAGACTCCCTTATGTCAAGTTAATATTATGGCAAAACCAAAAATTATTTTAAATTTTATACTAGTAGAAACAGGTAACACAACAAATCTTTTTTAGCTAGTCAAGGATGGTTTTATTGATAAAAAAAACAAAATAACATTCATAGTTTAAGGATTTCTGGCATGTCAGCTAGTGCTCATTATAAAGCTGCGAAAGAATATTTATAATTTTAAAGAAAATTATTACTGATGGAATTTTTTCACTATGATTTGTGTTCATTGTGGATGAAACTGGTTTATTTTGAAAAAGGATGCCATTCCGTACAAACATTTTGTTAGACAAAAATTGTACCTCTGGATTAAATGCATCAAAAGAGAGATTCACCTCTCTTTTAGGAGGTAATTAAAAAGGTGATTTTGAACTCAAGAATTTGCTTGTTCATTATTCTGAAATACCATGGTCATTGAAGAAACAAACAGATCAAAACTTTCTGTGATTTGGCAGTTGAACAAGAAAGCTTGGGCACCTGTAGAAAATTTTAAAGATGAGTTTATAAACGAATTTTCTTTGGTAAAGCATTATTGCCATGAAAAAACTTTGAATTAATAGCCCTTCTTTCAATAGATAATGTTCCTGGCCACCCAAAAAGTTTAATATCTCTCAATACTTGTATTCCACTGAAAGCTGTCTATCTGCAGTGAAATACAACAACGCTTATACAATCTATGGATCAGGGCGTGATATTCAACTTTAAAACATATTACTTGTGACAAAAATTTTGATATTTAATTGTTAAAAATGAAGTATGTAGTGCAATTTTGGGAAATTTCAACATTGTAGATGCTTTAAAATAAAAAGCATGTTTGGAACAAAGTGACTTCAAAACTTCCTGAATAAAGTTTGGAAAGGGATGTGGGTTGAAATTTGCAAAAATGTAGGTGAAACTCTGGAGGAAATTTAGGTCATGAAACAGCAACAAACAAAGTTGTTGAAGAAGACATTAAGACTTTTACTGTGATCTCTTGGAGAGAGCCTATCAAATGAAGAACTGAAAGATTTGGCACATAATATAAATAGGTCAGAAGGCAATGTATGTATTGAAAATGCTTTAATAAATATAGCTGAAGAAGAATCGAAAAATTTATCAACAGACACCTTAGCAGCATTACAACTCTTACAAAAATAATGGGCGAGTTTTTGGAGAATGATCCAAATTTGGATTATAGTTCAAAGTCAAAAAGAGGAGTTTTAGACTCCAATAGTTGAAGCTGACTCAAAGGCAACAAACAAAAGTCAAGTTTAGATAATTTCTTAATAAGAAAATATTTATTTATAATACAAATGTAAAATCCTATTTTTCCTAATTTCCTATTTTCCAATTACCAGCATGTAAAGTTAATGTCTTGGCTACAAGAGAATGCAAAAGGCTAGATAATCACTGTTATAGATAATCGCAGGTCTAATAGTTGTTTTTCTTATTCTGAAATCGGCTGATATTGACACATCATGCAATTCATGTAAAATTCTTAAAACTTGCTGGAATAACTGATCTCAATATGTATTTGTTGCCTTATTATAGAACAAGAAGTACTCAGCAACTTTGTAATTTGCAGCTCTGCTCCTAATCATTGCTACATCATGGATTCAAAATAGTTAGGATTTGTCAAATGTATACATTGTGTGTGTGGGGAAAATCTATATCTCCCGTTCTACTGGGCCGATTGATGAAATTCAAATTGCGTTCTTCATGTCTCGAAAGCGCGACTTAGGATATATATTAGACTTTTATATAGCTCTATTCTTACATAGTTATTTTGACACGAAATCGGACTTTTCCTGAAATAAAATACCACTTTTTCCCCATATTTCGATTCTACGACTCAAATTATTCCCAAATATGAAATTTTGTAAAATTTGGTGCGAAATTTACAGAGAAATTCACAAATATATGTTTGCTTTTTTTTTTTTTTTTTTTTTCCCCAATTTGCAAACTTTTTAATGTGTTGCAACCTATTTTCCTTTCCTGTGAGGGGGGGGGAAAGAAATTTAAAAAAATTTAAAAGAATAATATCATCTATGATTTTAAAAAAATAGCTTTTTATATAGTATTAATAAATATTTATTATGCAACATTGACAGAAAAAAATTCATATAATTAATTCTCCCTAAAAATTTATTTGAAATTTAAGGTTAAAAATAGCTGTGACAATTTACTGTAACAAAAGTCCATAAACCATATTCGGCGTTATTATTGCTCAAAAAAGAGATGTGAAAATATGTAAATTCATGTATGTATTTGAAAATTTTGAATAAAAAACCTCTAATTTTTTGCAGGTATACATAGAAGTACGCATATTTTAAGATGATGGTTAAAATTTTATAGGTTATAATTCAAATTTTTTTTTGAAAAATATATAAAAATAGAAATTTTTAAAATAAAACACAAAAAAGGCGTGAATTTTTTTTTTTTGGAATGAACCTAAATTTCGAAATGTGAAAGGAAAAAAAGAGATCACCTCCTGACAATAGCGATCTCCGGTTACAGAACTTCGGTCGAAAACGAGGAGCTCTGTCCGCCCATTGAACATAATGCCTCCCCAGACGAGATCTCCAGGACACCATAATGGTCTCTTTCCGTGATGTTACTGAGATTAAACCGTGCCCTTACCTCTCTCCAAATAAGTTGGCGTTGAGAATCGCTTGGGGCACTAAAACGACTCTCATCCGTAAGGAGGACACGACTCCATTGATAAAATGCCTAGTTTTTGCGCTCCTTGCACCACTCTAAATCGTGGCGCCAATGGCCAACTTTCAAAGGGATGCAGCATTCAGGACGGCGGGCGAATAAGCCATTTTTGTGAAGGTGTCTGGACACAGTAAACCACGACAATTGTCACCGGTTGCTGTACACAGTTGCTAAGCTGTGGAACTTGCTGAATGGTTTTGGGCTCTTTTCGCCTGTAGGATGATATATCGGTTATCTGCTGCAGTTGTTGTCTTGGAGCGGCCACCACCAACCTTTCTAATAGCTGTACCTATGGTTTGGAAGGCTTTCCAACCCCACAAAACGTCACTTTTGTTGACTTCGAAATCTTCAGCCACACTGGTCACGCTATGCCCCTCCTCCAGCTTTCCGATCATTCTTCCACTCGTGAAGTCATCCAGATGGTTTCTTCTAGCCATATTTCACGAAAGATTTCACGTGTACTTGCAGCGAATGTCTTTAATTGGGTCTCAGTCCTTCCTTTTATGGTAGTCTCGAGTGGATCGTGCCGACTGCACACATTTTGCGTACGATCACATAGCCTGGGACTTTTTTCCCTCACATTTACATATGCATTACCTTTCTACTGAATTGCGTGTTCATTGTACTGATAGCAAGAACCTTTTTTCTGCAACTGCATGGTTACAGGGTTCGTAGCGGTCCTTACAAGTGCTTATAAGTCCTTATATTTGAAAATAAAATATAAAGGCCCTTATAGGTGCTTACTTTTTCTTTAAAGCCCTTATTTTTTTGTTTTTAGTGCTTATTTTTTGCTTTTAGTGCTTTTTTTTTAATCCTTTGTTTTTAACGAACGTGCATTTTTTTCCCCGTACCAAAGCCGAAACTAAATAAACAACTTTTCTTCCTTATATGCAACGTCAGATGGTGAATCATACTCTCGAAAATTGCTTCCCCCCCTTCCTCTGCCTTAACGTAACCTATGGTGCGCGCGAGAGTACAGACAGGTGCACGTCGTTCTATTGGCCAAAGAATTGCGAAAACGTAGAAAATTCCGGTACATTCGGTATTCTTTTC